AGCACAAACAATTTTTGCAAGAGGGGCGGTCTGACGAACTGCGCCATGGCTCGGTGGCGATACACATCAATCATACGAAGACATAAAACACAGAAAAGTCATGGAGATACACACAACAAGATGACGACTCAGTGGCGCGACGGTGATGAAGGCGACGCCCGAAGGTGGCGACGATGGAAACGAAGCAGAACCAAGTGTGGGTGACGACGAAAATGCACGGGAGAAGGCGACGCCAGCCACGGGATGGAATCCCGAAGCACCAAGCGTATGCGACACTTCTGCGGCACGATGGAGCTAAAACAAAAAAATTAATACGAACACTAGTTGGCAAACAGGCGAACCAGGAAAACGCGGTGGACTCGGTGTCCAAGTGTCCCGAGCCAACTTCTTTTTCCAAGCGTTCAGAGGCAAAAAACACCGACGAAACTTCGGAGGGAGCCTGTCGAGAGAACCAAAGACCAACAACCACAAAAAAATAAGCAAGAGAGAGAACGGACATCCAGGTCGCGGCAGTTCACTGATTCAGACGAATGCAGGCAACAAGGAAGAAGGATCACTCGACACTGCGTGTCTTGAAGCGGCGTTGCCCTAGCGTCAAAACAAAAATAAGCCAAAAAAGAAAATAACAGGGCAGAAAAAAAACAAAACATGTCGGTGATGAAACCCCAACCACACGCCTCAATCGGCGACCACGTCAGAAGGCAATGATGAGATATTGTTCTCCCGTGCCCTTCTCACATTTAACGACATGCCATACACAACACGGTAAATATGTTCTCCCGCGCCGCACATGCCCCCATACATCACGCACAAAATATTAGTTGATGACGAAAACATACACACCCCGAGAAGCGCTTGCTCCGCAACCACATAAGGGTGCCATAATAGAACACCCGACAAACCGAGTTCCCCTAAATCTTCCGTCTACAACTTCCCAACATAACATTTAGATAGATACACAAGATGGCTACCACACTGCCTTGTTGAGCCTGTTACCCACAGGGAAGATACCGTTGTATGTATGCTGTCTGGGAAACCGTAGACATACAGGTAGCTTGTCGCTCACGCTATGGATTCATTGCTAATCTATCTCAAACATATTTCTATAGATAGATATGGATTTGTTGGGTAACATAAAAAAAAATAAATAGGAAGGTGACAGAACAAAAAAAAAAAACGTCGGCGGGAATGATGGCACAAAAGACCAGGATAGGCCGACTGGTATATGAAAACGACGACGCTAAGAAGAAATAGTGGGAACAGCCGACGGCAAGGAGTCAGCAAGGAGCGGAGTGCGACCGCGGTTGTCGCCCAGAGGANACATACAGGTAGCTTGTCGCTCACGCTATGGATTCATTGCTAATCTATCTCAAACATATTTCTATAGATAGATATGGATTTGTTGGGTAACATAAAAAAAAATAAATAGGAAGGTGACAGAACAAAAAAAAAAAACGTCGGCGGGAATGATGGCACAAAAGACCAGGATAGGCCGACTGGTATATGAAAACGACGACGCTAAGAAGAAATAGTGGGAACAGCCGACGGCAAGGAGTCAGCAAGGAGCGGAGTGCGACCGCGGTTGTCGCCCAGAGGACGCGAACGATGTTTCTCTAAACACCATGATCCACAGACGGCGCCCAAGGCGGTGGAGTAGAGATGCGCAGGCAGAGGGAGAACGCTTGGGCCCGGGTCATCCAAGAATCGAACGATGTACGATCCGCCCTGATGAGCACCAATACGTCCGGTCCACCACAATCCATCACGGGCCTTGTACCACAGCCGCGCGCGAACAGGGAGGGGCGAAGTGCTGAAACGATGAAGCCAAGTCGCGTTAAGCACAAGATCAGCCCCAGGAGGCAAAAAGCGTTCTCCACGATTACGGGCTAGCTCCCGCTGTGCCGTGCGAGTCCGAGCCACCCGATATGTACGGTTACCCTGCTTGCTTTGGCAGACCTCCCGGGACCAGTACAAGAGGATGTGTCGACGGAAGTGATCAAGGTCGGATTCCCGTTCCCATGAAGGCGTAGTCAGGCCTAACCAATGTGTCTGGTACAGGAGAGCAAGAACGCCGCTACGGCCCCGCACCAGTTGATGTCCCGAGATGAAGTCGACCTCGAGGCGCCCGACAGGTACCGACACATCATCCGGGGTGACGTGGAAAGGTGGGCATTTATCTCCGAAAGAGTGCAGAACAAAACGCGAAAGCTCGGCGGGTAGAGAATGCGGCAGTCCGTCTCGTACAGATTGCGACAGGGCTTGCAACGAAAGACAGACACGCGACAACGAGCTGCTGGGCCGGAAAAAGCGGGCGGCCTTCCGGAGTGGCGTCGGCAGAGGCGGGACCCACCTCTAGAACTTTGTAGGGCCCCGTCCAGGAAAGTGCGAATTTGGCCTTGAGCACCTGTTGGTCCGTGTCCTTCTGCACACCCTGTCGAATCGTAGCAGCCGTGTTGTACACCCTAGCCCACCCGCCAACGGTAAACTGAGGGAGCTTGTGGATGGCGTCCAGCAGGGATGAAGTGCGGCGTTCGACTCGCGAAATCTTCAGGGCATTGTACTCACGGACAAACTCGTAGGCGCGGCGCTGGCGATCGACAGCCAGGTTGCAATACTCGAGTTGATCGCGGGCCAAGCTTTGATGACCACCTACCGTGGGATGATCGAAGACCGAAAGCGGGATTCGCGGGATGCGTCCAATGTGGATTTCGTTTGGCGCTAATCCAGTAGACTGGTTCACGGAATTGTTGTAGGCAAAGTGCGGGAGATGTACGTCCCAATCGTTTTGTTGTTCGTTGACGACCACTACCATAATCTGGGCCATCGTGACGTGACGCGTTCCGTGCCTCCGTTGGTCTATGCATGGTAGGAGCTGGTGGTGACCTTCTTGATCTTCATCACCTCGTAGATCGCCATGGAGAACTTCGAGCAGAAATGCAGTCCGTTGTCCGACAATAACGTAGTCGGACATCCCCACTTGGTCATGTAGTGGTTGACGAAGATGTGAGCCGTCCCTCTCGTCGTAGATTCCGCCGCTGTAACTGCGAACATGTCGGCTCTCCGACTGAAACGGTCTGTGAACAACAAAATGTAGGAGTTGCCCTTGGCAGTCACTGGCAGAGGCCCGAAGAAGTCGACGCCGACGACCGTACTAGGCCCCCGCGGCAATGGCATAGCGATGACGGGCCACCAAGCAGTCTGACGTGAAGTCTTGCGAGCTTGACACACCAAACACGCCCGAAGTCACTAGCGCACGGAACGATCCAAACCAACCCACCAGCAGAAGCGCCCGAGCAGACGCTGCTTGCGATGGACGCCGAGATGGAATGACGCGGCCGCATGGCATGCATGAAGGACCCACGGACGCACTAGCACTGGCACGTAGACACGGGGCACGCCAGTATCCGGCAGACTAGTGGTCCTGCCGCCAGAGCGCCCAACCGGCGACGGCGCCGATTTATGTACGAGGAGGGTGATGTTGTCGTCGGTCGTGTGCAGTCTGGTTTTCGCCGCCAACACAAGCACATAATCTACCGAGGGGAGCGAAGAGGAGCACGGAGAGTGAGCAAGTCCGGAGGGGGTGGGGAGGGAGAACCGCGAGACAAAAACCGCATTAATAGCCACCACACACTCGCTCTCCCGCTGTTGTTCCCTCGCCCAGTCCACAGTGCTGAAACTCTTAACACAAGCCCGCAAGTGGGAGTTGTCCAAATCAGAAGAATCCGAAAATAAATCAGGCGATCCAACGGAAGAGGCTGAAGAAGGCGAAGCCTCAGCGACTGGGGCAGCCGCAGTCCGTGGTGATGTCCGCGAAGGGGACATCGTGAGTGGCGAAGTCCCGGGCGAAACCTGTAGAGAAGGCGAAGTCGGGGATGCAGGGCGCGCCGCTGACGGCGAAGACACCGGTGGCTCAAGAGCAGTCGACGAAAACGCCTATGCCGGCGTTGCGATGGCTGCCTTAGACGCGCGGTGGTCCGGTTGGTCTTGTTTGTCGAGCGGGACCTGCTAGAGCGACGGGCAGGCGACGATGTCCGAGGGACATTGGTAGCCCGCGGCTGGCGTCCGAAATAAGCAAGACCGGTGACGGTGCCTCAAGAAACAGCGGTAGTTTTTGCCCGAGTCCGTGAAGAAATTAGCGGTCCCCGCTCCGGAAGCGAAGACAAAACGTGCATATATCGAGTCGCCAAAGACGCGGCAGGAGACATCACGCGGGACGCAGCAAAAGTCAATGGGGAAGCAGGCCCTGAAGATGCGGGAACAGGCGAGACGATGAAGACCCCCCGGGGACCGCCGAGAATCATGGCAGGCAATCGTTGAGTCCGTCAGAGCATCCAACCGACGCGGGTGATGTCGGCGAAAATCCCCGAAATCGGAGGGCTGCAACGCTGGAGGCGAAAAGATTCCCGCCGGGCAAGGAGGGCGGAGCCCACCCAAACCGACCTCCAGCGTAGACGACGAGTGATAGTTGCGCCCGCAAGCCCGAATGGGGAAAACACCCGCTTGATCGACACCATCAATGCAGTCGGGGCCGGTTTTGTCAGTGTCTTGTGCTGGTAAAGGCAACCGCGAAAGAAAATCCGCGTTGCCGTTTGCCGAACCTTTCCGATATTTCAGGGTGCAGGTGAAGTTGGACAGGAATTCGAGCCATCGTTGCACTGTAGCGTTGTGTTCCCCAACCTTGCCAACGCTCTCCAAGGCTTTGTGGTCCGAATAGATTATGAACTTGATCGACCACAGATAACCGCGAAGGCGTTTGATGGCCCAACAATGCCACCAGCGTCCAGATCCAAAACGGTCCAGTTACGCTCCGCAGGAAGAGTAGCGCGGCTGATGTACACGATGGGTCTCACCGAGCCATCGAGCTGTTCATGTTCCAAGGAGGCGCCAAAGCCGTCGACACACGCGTCGGAACATAAACGAAGAGAACGGCTGTTGTCCTCGATTGCCGCCCAATCCGGGAAAACCGAAATCGGGGGGCAAGCGAGCTCGCTTAACCCTTTGGAGTCTTCGGCCGGTCTGAGTGATCATTGATTGATCATTTTATCCTTCTTTTTTTTTTTATCGAGCTGAACAGACGGTCTAGTCGTGTAGGGGAGGATAGGAAACATCCCGAACCCGCACGCAAAGGAGTTGTACAGCACAGCTAGCCAGAGCGAGGGCACGCCACACACACGCCACACGTAAACCACGAGGAGGTGCGCCGAGAGCTCATGGGGAGGCATCTACGCCCCGCGTGGTCTGCCTTGTCTAAAGGGGCGGCGTGGTTGGTAGCGCGTGCGGTTGCGCTACCGGCAGCGCCAGTTGGCATTCCTGNGCAGTCCACACTTGCTTTGTACGCTGGCATGGAGGACAGCGGGGCTGACATCGACCCAAATGAGGCTAGCGATGATGGGGATTCAGACGACGAGTTTGATCTAGTCCCCAGGTCCCGAGCGCGGTATGCTGCAAACTCCCACAACGCCGGTCTCAACCCGAGGGGGGCAGCTCGGCACCAACAACAGCGGCAGCAGCATCCCAACCCGGCATCACCGGTCACGCCACCGGCTTGGACGGCCACGCGTGAGCCGCGACAACCGATGCATCTGCGGATAGCGGAGTCGAAGCGCAAAGCGCGGGAGGCAGCAGAGCGAGAGCAGCAGCAGCGGGAGCAGCAGCAACAACCATCGCCGGAGCCTGCTCCAGCCAAGAGCTCAAACTCGCAAGACTCTGGTCGGCATGAACAACAACGGACCCCGGCACGACCGTTGACGGAGCAGCTCCGAANGGGAGCCGCAACAGCAGCAGCAGCAGCAGCAGCAACAGCAACAGCAACAGCAGCAACCGTTCCCACCGGACCCTTCTCCGGCCACCCAGTCCGTATGCGGCGCTATCATTTGCCGCGGCCCACGGACTGGGCAAAAGTGCTGCAACAAGGTTGGAGGTAGGACAGCAGGTTTTTGCAAGCAC